CACAATATTGGTAGCCTTACAACCGAGCGCCAAAAGTATCAAAGTTTATCTAGTCTGAGTGGGCGGAAGTTCGCTGCATAGATCAGCCTCTCATTGGGCAGAACGAGCCACCCGCTGAAGTCCCGCCCTACCACCTCCGGTTGTGTAGCAGTTTTCAACCGTTTTCAACACGTCCTTTACTAACTTTTGCAGTGTTTGATCTTGCGGGGATGTAGCCGTTTTTCTGCCATGGTTCGCGTCGTGTAGGTGATATTTTTGTGAGCTTGTTACACCAAAACCTGTTTCCCCCGGCAATATTTTTGCAAGCGATGATTGGTTGAAAGAAATACAAGCAGCCGGGGCATTTTTTCTCCAATCTTAAAGTGAGAGTCGGCCCAGCCAGACCTTTCTTTTCTTGAGAAAGGTCTGGTGAGCGAAACTCAAGTTTATCATATGTTATCCTACACTGACCTCTGACCCGTGACATATGCACCAATCATCAGCATCCACACAGCTGAAAAATGCATCTGTCACGTTCCTTAGTAAAAAAGAACCCAACAACATGATCTGCTGCTTTTGTCATATTTTATTTTCAAGATAGGATGACAAATCATTGAAAAAAATGTATGTACAGTGCGTACAGGATTACAGCTGCTGGCTGGAGTCTGTGGACTGTAAGGACATTAACAAGGTCTCTGATAAGGTTTTTTTATAGGCTTATTATGTTGATACACATAAACGTATTGAGCCTCTCAAACCTTAAGAGTTTTGATACTTTATGCAGAATATGGTTTTCAGTTTCTCTGTGACACTCCGGTACAGTAATATGTTCGACAGTGAGTGCAGCCCGCCCCACAGAACTTCTCTTCAGTGCACCTCCAGTAATAGTCTGTAAGTTTATAAAGACAAAATACTGGTTTTAATGCACTGACTCAGCATCCTATTCATATGCATGTAGGCTATGTAAGCTCCATGCGATGTCACAGAAATGTCACTGACCAACAATCTGTGGTTCTCCGAGGGGCAAGTAGCAGACAGAGGAATAAGACGGAGAGGAAAATAGCGGCGTGGTGGATGCAGCCGTGTCCTGACACTGGGTTCATCGCTCAGTTGCTGAGGTAACAGAAATGAGACAGAGGCTGGATGTGGAGGAGTCAGAGACATGTATGCACCAACGCAGACCAGAAAACATTATAATGTGTCTATGGTCATGTGTAAAGAAAGAGGAAGAAGCAGGTTAAATGATATACGTCAAATATGGTCAGAAGTAAAACAGACTACAGATGCCATCATGGAGAAATGTTCCAACCTGTAACAGAGCACAGCTGAAAACAGTTAATGGAGTGTTAGCTGAGGCCGATATAAAGGAATCTACAGAGAGAGATTGGACGACTGAAGAGTCAGAGCCACAGAGTATTTTAGGAGGTGCTGGTGTGTAGGCTGGGATGTTAGCAGGTCTGGGATGTGGGAAGGAGATATAGGCTGAACACATTATTCTCCAATCAATCTGTCACTGACCACTGCATTCATCTGTGAACCTCAGAGGCAGCAGACGGCAAAGTTAGAAAGACTTGGAGGGCAAAGGAGAATAAGAACACACGAGGAAGACAAACTGGAACACGTCTGACTCAAGTTTTTATACCTCCGCACTGGTGGAAGCTGCGGCAGGTGGGATTATGGTTTTAGGTTGTCTGTATGTCCATCCTGTTTTTGTGAACGCAATATCTCAAGAATGCCTCAAAGGAATTTCTTCAATTAGGCACAAACGTCCACTTGGACTCAATGATGAACTGTTTTTTGCCATAATTCAGGAATTCATGAACTAATTATGGCAAATTTCACAAAAATGTGAAGCATCCATGTTTTTACAGACATAGATGGAAACTGTCAAAGAATCATGACTGGTGGGCGGAGTCAAACAACAACGGGGCAGACGGGGGCGGAGTCAAACAACAATGGGGCAGACTAGTGGGCGGAGTCAAACAACAACGGGGCAGACGGGGGCGGAGTCAAACAACAACGGGGCAGACTAGTGGGCGGAGTCAAACAACAACGGGGCAGACGGGGGCGGGGTCAAACAACAACGGGGCAGACTGGTGGGCGGAGTCATACAACCACGGGTCAGACTGGTGGGCGGAGTCATACAGCCACGGGGCAGACTGGTGGGCGGAGTCAAACAACCACGGGGCGGTAATACTAGTTTAAACACGGGGCCTTTTTCAGTTACAGAACCCAGTATGTTGTTATATCAAAACCTGTCAGAACCAAAAATAAATCTTGGCATCATACGTTTCTGCAGACTGGAGTCAGTTGGGGAACAAAATTTGTCCTCTGCAATTTTCCCGCTGAAAATTATTTTATTGCTTGTGCTGTACGTCTACAATCAGAACTGCGTCCACGGCAACAGTCTGTTATTGGCAGCAGCTTTGTCTCTGTGAATAACAGCCGGTTTTGTTGTGTGTTGGTGTTTAACAGTGTTATGTCATCCGTCATCCCCTCCAGCTCTCCATGACAAAGTTGGCTCATACACTACATCACTTTAGAAAGGTTGATATGTATGACATGTGAAGTATCCAGGGTTTGCAAGAATGTTCAGCATTTGCTTTTGGCGACTGAGCTGCGTCAGGCGTCTGTTCAGATTTGTAATCTTGTTTACTCTTTGATCACATAGCTCCTGAAATAAAAATAAAGATTGTTAGTGTTGAAACGTGTTTTATTTAGTTCAGGTTCAGGTTCAGTTTTCAGGTGGCGGCCATTTTGGATTGTCATCAGAATGCTAGTCTGTGATGCCCCAATATCCAGATGTCTTTTACATATTTTAAACTATATATGAACCAAATCTGATGCTTTTATCACAAAATGAACTGGTCAGTTATGCGGAAATATGTTCTTAGGTTAAGTTATTGATTTTGTATCGGTATCAGTATCAGAACTTGAGTATCGTGTCAGCACCGTCACTGAGTCCTGTTTGAAGCTGTCGACCTCACACAGTTGAGTTTTCTAAACTGATGGTTTGGCAGTGATGCCAAATGTCCCGGTGAGTCTCTAAACACTCTATAAATCATTTAAACTGAGGTTTGGGAATTATGTTTCTCGATAATGATATTTAAGAAAAGTTGAGGGGTTGCCATGACACCCTTCTCACGCGCCCTCAGAGCTAACCTTGTTATTTTCAGATTTATTTCACTCACCTAATTGGTGATATGTCATCCAAATTGGTATGAAAGAGTCCTAGAAGTGTTAAAGTTAACTTGATTCGATCCAGTTTTCTCCCCCCAGCTTACACTCACTTACGTTGAATCAGAATCAGCAGGGACTCTCAGCTGTCAGATTTACAACTGTTTTTGAGCACCATAAATTAGCTTCAGATCTCTCCTCCTTGTCCTCTTTCTCATACATATCATTTTCTCTTTCCGCCTCTTTCCTCTCACCTTCCACGCTGTCGTCCTTCTCCCCCCGCTGAGCCGCCTAACACGCTCTGAATGAACGCTGTCTTTGCCGTGCTCAGAGACAATCAGCCGTCTGCGGCTGGCTGTCTCAGACAGACAGTTCTGGAGGGGGCGGGGGTGTCGAGGGGCCTGGTGTCATCAGGGGACGTCTGTCTCACACAGCTGAGTCTGAAGGTGCTCAGGACTTGGACTCTCTCAGGGATGGCTTGTTACTGAGATCCCCAGAGATGATTACGTCGTATTTTCATTCCTCTGCTTGTCATTGTTCCATCAGATATTTATAACACGCTTCATTACTCCTCATCTTTATCTTATCTTAATAAATACTCTGATGTGACGCTCATTGTTGCAGCAGTGTCTTTATTCCTTCACAGATCAGCAGATACACTATAAGGGCCACACAGAGGAAGGATTTAGTTTTCCAGTAAAATCCACCAGAGTAAAGTAATGACAGGTTGTTTTGTGGATTTGAAAGGTGTCACAGTCCAAACCTGCAACAGCTGGCAGCTGAAATCTCACATCTGCTCAGGGGCAACGTAAAGTTAAATATCTGTTTTCATGAATTCACTGATTGCAGCTTTTTCAAGGTCAGCGTTGATGCACACAGGTCAGAGTCGAACTTTCAGAGACTGAACTTCACTACAGAAACTGGGAGCTATCTGCAAGCTGAGTCTGGTCCCTCTCCTGTGCAGACAGATTCAGACGGTGCAGATGGGCCGGGTCGAGCGTTATATCTAATGTGGGGCGTGTTTGAGACGATGACTGAACTCATAGAGCCCTCGCGTTTCAAGCAAAATACACAATGACATCATTTTTGGCCCAGAAATCGTCGCTTAGTAAAGACGAGCACAGTTGAGGGATTTTTGGAAACATTTGTCTGCAGCTGATGTAGAACTTCATGTTGAAATACTGTTTTCAAATTCTATAACAGCGACACAGGTTCACAGACCTGTTGATGCTCCACCATCACAGCTTAGCTCTGCACGCTGTAGTCTCTTTACATTTGTCTGCAGCTCAGTGCTACGTCACCTTGTGATTGGTCCGGTGATGTCAGCCTGACTGAGAGCAGCCAAGCTGAGAAAACTGGACGGCCCACATTTTGTTAAGGGTCAGACTATAAATAACCACATAAACTTAAATATATACACGTGGAGTTAACGTTATGGAACAGCTTAAAAGTGGAGCTGAAGAAATGTCCAAACATGCAGCAGTTTATAATAAGGTATAAAGACGTGATATTCAGGAGGGTTAAAGAAGGGGTTTCAAATTCACCAGGTGTTCACAATACTGTTTACTCTCTCTACATATTAATATAACATATTGCTGCGGGTCTCAGTTGGATTTTTTTAGTTACTCCAACTTTTACATCCTGTTTTCTTGAGATCAGAAAAACGTTGAACCAGGAAATTTTGTCACACGACTGAACAGATATGTGAAGGTTTCATTTCAGTTTTGACTAACGTGGTCGTTGCAGCACAGAAGTTCTACTTTCACACCACTTTCTCACAGTGTGTGGCCGTATTTCATTTTTTCTTTGAAGTGACGCTGTGTCTTCCTGTTCCTGTGTTCCAGGTTGATACACGGAGGTCAGTTTCTCAACGGTTTGGCCGGCCCGACCATCATGAGCGCCGGCCCCTTCCTCTCCACCACATGGTTCGCCCCCGACCAGAGAGCCACCGCTACAGCCGTGGCGTCGCTCTTCTCCTACCTGGGGGGCGCTGCTTCATTTGTAATTGGACCTCTGGTAGTGCCGGCGCCCAACAACACCCTGACAGCCACCACGACGGCGGCAGCAGTTTCTGACACCTTTATCCGAGACAGGATCCAGCTGGTTATGTATGCAGGTACTAACAGCGAGCGAGAACCTCCGAGGGCACGGAGGATCAGTAGCACATCATCTCGAACATCATGTTTGCCCCGTCAAGGGACACAAATACAATCAGGCGAGGGAATTCAAGAAACACCAAAAAAAGCCCAATTATAATGTTTATAACAGCCCCTCTGAAAAATAGATTGCTGGGCCTGTTATGCTTAACTGATTCAGAAAATTAAAAGCATGCTGAAAAGAGAAACAAGCAAGCTGTAATAGATTGAAGCTGTGGCTTTTGTTTAACCTAAGGTGGTATTGTTATTAATTTTTAAAGGACAAAGCAGACACCTTTGTGAGCAGAAAGTTTTGGAGGTCATCAAAACAGAAATCCAGATAATGGATCAACGTGAGCGGGAATGAAACTGTCAGGGAGCAACAGGTGGCTGCTGCTCCATCAGTCCATGTAGGATGTAGAGACCGGACGTATGGATGTGACCGCAGTCGAGTTACTAGGAAACCAAACTGTTAATGGTGTTGCTCCTCCGATACCCCTTTCCCACCAAAGCAGTTCCAGTGCTGGTGCTGGTTCTCAGTTGGTTCAACTTGCAAACCAGCTGAGAACCAATTTGCTTTTCCATGGCTCGAGGTGGTTAGGGTGCCACGTCATTGCGTCACTGTATACGTCAGTTATGTCGTTGCTTTCCCACTGGCGCCAAGCTCGAAGGAACAACAACAACAATGATGGCGGACCACGTATTTGTGCAGCTGACGCATGCCGACGACCATAAGGCAAGGAGACAACTTGTTTCCTCGACGGACCACTGTTGCTTTGATGTGTCCATGGCTTCACTCTTCACTCGTTTATTGTTGTTGGTCTTAATAACCCCGCCCCTTACCAGTGACGTATGTGGTCCTTTCTTCTAGTCCAGCAAAGAACTGGTGCCACTCTGGAACCGTTTTTTCTGGCCCAGACTCAGTTCTGTTGTCTGTCGAAACAGGAAAACAGGTTCCAAATTAAGCACTGGCCCTGAACCAGCACTGGAACTGCTTTGGTGGAACAGGGATACAAGAGAACAAGTTGAGAACCAGTGCTGTGCCAGGTCACATGATTGTGTGACACTGACTTCATTTACATGAACACAATATTCTGGTTTTGCCCTTTGTCCAAAAAAGACCACGAAAATGATTGTTCCATTAATACTCCTGCTACATGCAGCCACGTGAACTCAGATTAATTAACATGTTGTTCATCGATTTCATCGAGTTTTCCACCAATGACCGACACGATCAACTGTGCAAACACAGCTTTTCATTCCTTTAGCCACCTTCTTAAAAAGGTCGGTGTATCCAAAAAGTCTGTTGATATCTAAGTCTTTCTTAATGTTTAATAGTAGGTGTGTCTCTCCTTTCAACCGGAAATTTCAGCTTGTTTAGGTCGTGCATCTCGACCGCAGCATTGCAAGCAGTTGGGGTGGTGGTTTGTGTACGACACACAGAGCTGACCGTAAACAGGCAAGACGCTGCGTGTCGCAAATTCTGATTGTGCTGTGTTCATGTCAAAAAAAAGGAAACTGGCCTTATTCAGAACATCAAAAGGGACACGACCCACATCAAAGTCAGAATAATATTGAAATTCAAGTGAAATTCAGACCACTGGTTATTGAAGTGAATAACAGATCATCTTGTGACAGTGAAATGTTCTGCTGGGAAACCTTCAGGTCCTGACATTCATCTGCTCAGGAATGACCCGAGGAACATGACAGTGAGCTCAAGATGTTGACATGGCCTCAAAATTTACAGATCCCAATCTGATCGAGCATACCAGGGACATGCCGGTACCCCAGAGATGCCTCCAATCCACAGTGGGGCGTCCTAAGATCGGATTCATCTCTGACCTGTCCAGACATGGACACAGGAGCTCTGGGAGGTGACCTGTGGTGTCCAGCACCACGGAGTTAGCAGCAGATCCTTTGAGTACAAGGAGTTGGCGTACTGGAACGACCTGCAGATGCTCAGATTGACATAGGGGGTCTCATTTATAAAACACTGCGTAGGATCCAGACTTAAAATGTACGCATGAACAAAAGCCAAAAATGTTGTGTGCCAAAAATAATCGACAGTTTGTACAGTCAGGCTCCACCTCACCATCTGTGCCACGTCTCCAAAATGTTCATAAGCACGGGTCAAAGTTTCTCCCATCAAGTCTATTTTTATAGATCACAACTTTTCCATGGGAAGCGGTGTACGCCTCTTTCAGGCCTCGATTTGTACGCACGCAGTGTTTATAAATGAGACGGCTGGGGAATATGGAGGCCAGATCGATGCCTTGAGCTCATTGTCACGTTCCTGAGCAGTTTTTGCAGGGTGGCATTGTCCTGCTGGGGGAGCCGTAGCCATGAGGGAGTGTATTTGGTCTGTGGTGGTGTTTGGATGAGTGGAGCGTATCAAGTGGCATCCACATGAATGCCAGGACCCAGGATCACCCAGCAGAACTTTGCATTGATGATCAGTGTTATTCATATATCATGTGAAGCTCTGTGTCACCTTGTTTTCTTCGTCCTTGGGTATCTCCCTGCGCTCCTGTCATCCTGTATCTGTAAAGTCACAACTGTTGCATCAATAAAAAATAAATCCAGACATGATTTCAGAGGACTGTTAGATGTCCCAGTGACCTTTTTAAAAAATGCAATAAGTCTGACTGTCTTATCTGTGAAATAACACGTATGTCTCTGTGTCGCTGTGCTCCGGCAGAGTTGGCTGCCATTGCTGTGCTTTTTGCAGCAGTCCTGCTCTATTTCCCGTCTCGCCCACCGATGCCTCCCAGTGTGGCTGCTGCAAGCCAGAGGCTCAGTTACAGGAGCAGCATCTGCAGACTTCTCAGGTAAAACCACACACACTGACACACACAGCCTAACCCCCCAAAATAATCTGAAACCCCAATACTGTCTGACATCTTTTGTTAAGACGGTTCTCTCAGTACATTATTCAGTATGCCTCACTCCATGTGTCCTTGATTTAACTCGGGCGTAGACGTGTAAAGCAAGTGAAGCTTCAGGGCTGCATCTGAAATGAGTTTCAGGTGCCGTTCAGTTTCTCCGACGTTGGCCTCTAACAGAGCGGTCAGGAGTGTATTTCTGCAGCACCTTCGATGCTCTCTAACCACCGTGTCTACAAATCCATTAGGTCTACTTTGCTTTCTTATTTGCTGATGCATTGCGCACTGCTTGTCATGGAAAGTTAAAGTGACAGAATCTGGCGCTGGAGAAGGATGTGGAATCTTAATGAAGGGGTCTGCCACTCACCATCTGCTTGGGTTGTTATCAAAGAGACCCCAGCCTTCCCTCCAGATTAATTACTGAGCTATAATATACTGGTTGCTCCTAAAACACTACATCATGCTCTGCATCTGCACCATCAGGGTCAGGCGTCGGTGTGTTCCTGAGACACGGCTCATGCGTGCGGTGAGGAAGAGCGAGGGATGGTCTATTATGACAAGGTCCTCCTGAGTCTCAGGAGTGGATGCATTTATTGATGTTTCATCACCTTTGTCTTTTTTTCTCCCTGAGACGGAGTTACAAGGAAATCTAGAGATGATTATTGAATCACACTTCACGTTAACATTGCAACAACCTCATCATTACGTCCCACCACACTCGCCGCCGAGGCAGTATTTATCCTCGGGGCCATGAGGAAAGAGCATATTGCCTGAGGAACGAGTCCTTTTTGCTTGGCTTGTGGAGGAATGATGCCCGTGGCAGTGGCCAGGGATTAAAGGGTTGGAGAGGGGAGAGGAAAAGCTGGGTGACGGCAGCAGCGGGGGGAGTTGGCCTAGCTTTGTTGGCGCCGCTCGGTCCCCTGCAGTAAGAAATAGCTTCACTACAGTGCCATGCTTTCCACAGGCCTGTGACCAGCACAGAGGCTTAACTCCTGTAAGAGCTCCCTCAGATAGATGACAGGGACCAGGCTGATAGCAACCTAATGCATAGTTCTGGGGACACACACACACACACACACACACACAGACTGGCCAACCTAACTAGGCCATCCAGCTGAAAGGGTTTCTGTTCCACTTGTGATAGGCAGCCTTCCAGTGACCTGTTTGGGCGACGTGTTGTATCTCCGTCCAGCAGCGTCCAGCCGCAGAATTCTCCTGCAGGGACGGACATGGACCATGAGAATGAGTGTTTCCGTCCTCACGTGTACTCTACAGGTGGCGGACAAAATAATGAGCCACTTAAAGAAAAATGAGCGAAACTCTAAAACACATGAAAAAATAAAGAGATCGCTTGTAACAATATAAGGAATTATAACGTTTATGTCATAGTTTTACATATTCATATATATATATATATATATATATTTATATATACATATTTAACCAAAACTATCACTACATACACACTGTACTACATGAGACAGATAATTTGTGAAAAAGAAAAGTCCTCCTCCTCCTCCTCACCGTGTGTGTATTGGCTAAACGTAACCACCTATGTGTGTTGGCTAAACGTAACCACGTGTGTATGTTGGCTAAACGTAACCACGTGTGTGTGTGTTAGCTAAACGTAACCACGTGTGTGTGTTGTTGAAGGAAAAAACATCAGTTGGTGGTGTTGTACCGACATAGTGCTTTTATTTTGAAAGAGACTGTATGCAAACTGTACATTTCCTGTGAAAACAGAAGTGTATTTTGAAAACAGACAATGCATGTAACAGGCTGAAGTTGACACAGCGTCCCAGAACGTCAACAACCAACACACCCAGGGTACCTTGGACGTCATATGTGGACGTGGAAAGTCCATGACCAAACGTGGACATGTGACGAGGTCACAGTGAGGATGATGATGGAAAAAGAAACCCATAAGTTGCACAGCTGTAGTCAGTATGTATTCTGACACTGAGCTGGCGGATTGGATAGTTTTAAACGTGGAGACGCTGACATCATGCTAACATCTCATGTCCTCCACAAAGACAGCAGGCGGTCGGCAACCAGTCAGTTAGTCTGCCTGATACATTTCCATTGACGTCTCTGCTCATCCATTTAGCCTGTCAGGGTCTGAGCATTGGTTAATGAACTTGAGCTTGATGAGTGCTTCCAGCTGTTCACATCTGCTTCCACAGCAGCAGTCTAATTAGGAGCCTGAATGTCTCTGCACGAGGTGTAAAGTTATCATTGTATTCTGATCACAGTCAGAGGGAATACTAAACAGCCTGCAGCCTGAGTATTGATGACCCCCCTCCCTCCACACTCATACTCACTTTGAGCTTTCAGGGTTGTCATGTTGATGCATTGATCTCAAGCCGGGTCTGCCAAGGACAAATGGCACTTAGCTGATGACGCCGCCAGCTTTGAGACTTCTTCGGGAACATTTCATCACCAGCAGGAAAGGAAAGAGGAGGAGAAAAAGGAGCCTCTCTCAAGCAGTCGCCAGCGTCTGCTTGCTCACATTTGGTTATCTAAATAAGCTCCCGGACGAGGGAGAAGGTGCATGGATATTGATTTCCTGCCGTTATGGCAAGGTTAATGAAAAGGGTGCTGGGAGGGAAGCAGAGAGGGTGCTCCATCACAGGGCTTTTACGACTGTCCCTCCGAACTCTCCCCAAGGCCAAGTAGCTTCATACTGCTTAGGACAAGACGGGCCTGCAGCAGGGCGACAGGCTGGGTTTGTTTTTCTGAGGATTCAAAGGATTCGTGAATAAAAGTGATTCATTGTCTGAAGTGCAGGTGTCAGGAAGAAGGAAAGGGTGTGCATGTTTACAGCAGCACAGCTCTGACCGTGCAGGTGTCTTCAGACACGTCCCCCACAGTGTGCAGCTCAAAGACCGACATAAAGGAAACTTTGGTATTTGTTTGGTTCATGTTCATGTTTTCCTGTGTTTCTGTGTCTGAGTGGGAAGAACAGTTTCTGATTTTAGTCCAGTACTGAGAGGAGAGCTGCAGTGTAACCACAGGTGCACCGCGTCAATTTACATCCATTAAAAGTGTTTGTTTGTGCCTCTAACAGGTTCAGTGTTGCCCTGAGTGTCTGACAACATTACAGAAAGGACCTGACAGAGAAATGAAACATTTAGTTTTGTGTCCAGGCCTCGTTCTGACGTCTTCTTTGAAATTGTCAAAATCAGCTGAACACTCAGCCGTGACACTGAAAGTCTTTTAGATAAGATTAGGATGTGCTTCCTGTTCTCCCGTCGTCAAAATCTTGCAGCGAGGTTTCAGCCACAGTGAGGCAGGAACCAAATGAGTTCATAGTAGACTGCAGGGTGCACATGGAGCAGCAAAGAACACCGCGCGGCGGAGGGCGTGACCAGCCTGGCAATCCGATTTGCCAGGCTGGTCACACCTCCAGGATACTACCAGCTGATAAAGACACGTCATGACGCATGTCAGATGATGCTTCTGAAGAAGACTGCAGTGACAGTCGAAACATGTCAAGGTAAACTACATCTCCTTAAAAACTCATTGTCTGGGGGAAAAAAAAAAGAAACCTTTCTACACTGGTCTCAGCTCCGACAGTCTCAATGAGTTTAACCACCAACGAGAGAGTTGGATCGTCATCTTTGTCATCGCCATGTTTGGGTGATGAAGGGTTAGCTTTGTCGCTAACGTGCCGAGACAGGGTTCGTCCTGGAGAGTCCTGACAAGAGCTACCTGTCATACTGAGATGTCCTTTAAATGGTCTGAAGATAAAATAGAACGCAGATATAGCACTAAGACGACAAGATATGCCCTGGTTACCCTTTTTAAAAGTAAATATATTACTTTACTTCTTACTCCCTGCCAACAGTAATTCGTTACACTACTCGTTATGTTACTTTTTCATTACACCACATAAAATCGGTAATTGCATATATTCCCAAAATTCAGATGTGTCTCTGTGTGAATGTGTGAAGGGTGATCACCAAGAAGTGAACCCTTCAGTTACCTGTGAGCGTTACTTTCCCAGAGATCTGTCTGTCAGACAAAGAGTCACTCATGGAGCAACATTTCATCCAGCACATATCCAACCACAAGCCTCATCGAGGACTACAAACAGCCTACAACCGGAAACCAGGGCTCTTCCGCTCTTCTTCCGGAGGCAAGATGTCCGGGGTTTGCCTACAGACTGAATGTAGAGTGTGTGTATATAGAGACTACTGCCCAACCTGCAGGTCAAACGCACTGGACCTGAGGGTTGTGAGTCAACTAGTGCATCACTACTAAGTGGTTACACATCAGCCTGTTTGGCTGCTGCACTCTGGCTCAATGCTGGACCAGTTTTAAAACTGTTGTTCCTGTCAGTCACTGAGACACAACAACACAGGGAAATGTGGCCCAGGTTGAAAAGTACTGGAGTTCCCCTTTAAAGTGTGTGTGGACTTTATCTGTGTGTGTGTTGAGCGTTTGAAGCCATAGTCTGGATGCAGGAGGCCCAAGGTGTTCTCCAGATGTCCCCTCGTGATACGGCTCAGGATGCCGCCTGCATCATAATGAACGAGGAGGAGGCAGAATAAATCCTGGAGTTAAACAGTGTCCATAAACAGAGAGGAGGAAAACAGCGTATGGATCTGCCAGCCGCACCTCATCTGTCAGACGCCCAGTGATTCTAATCATATTGTCGGGGTTGAGGAGGTGGCGCTGATTTAAATCAGCACGCCACCTCATTGGGCGAAGGTGATTAGCGTGGGTGTTCCAAGTGATTGTAATTGGGTTGCATGTGATTGGAGAGGTGCCATATACCCTAAAGAGGTGAGCTGTGTGTGTGTGTGTGTGTGTGCATACATAACGAGGCGTATGGAGGCGTGTGTTGATGACAGTACGCTGTGAGCTGATGAGATATTAGCAGACAGCTCGTATCAGAGCCTGCAGCACACTATCTGTAGCCTAAAGCCATTTATCACAGCCGG